GCTCTTCAGCTAAAGGCTAGTGCTCTACCACTTGAGCCACAGCACCACTTCCAGCCTTTTCTGCTTATGTGGTGCTGAGGAATCGAACCCAGGGCCTTATGCATGCAAGGCAAATACTCTACCACTGAGCTACCTTTCCAGCCTATGAACTGCTTTTTTAATGCAAAAGTATCCTAGGAATCCTTGGATTTTGTGTTCTACCTCATTCATTTACATATTTAAACACCATGGAAAGCATGTATGATGTAACTCAGTAATTTTCACCCAAAGTTAGATAGAAAAATGTATATAGAATATATTTCTTATGTTATGCTATTTCAATAATGGGTGTCAAATGGCACATTTCACTCTAACCATTGTACACATATGCAATGATTAGCAATTTGCCACTTAAAATGCTTTGTCCAAAGGGACATGAGTAAAGATGAGGTAAACCCAGGTTTGAGAAGTCCCTAACGTTCATTTCCATAAACAGTCATACGAAGAACCTTGGCCATCCTAAAGATACAACATAAAATAATCGATATAGGCGTGACACACCTGAAGATAAGTAACACCTACAGTTGAGTAAGACATATTACCTCAAGTTTTCCTCTGTGAATTTTCTTTTTAGGCCACATGTCCCAGACCAACACTTTCTGTACTACCAGGCACAACCAACTGATTACAGCTAGCATTAGCAAATCCATAGATGGCACACTTAATGTAAGTTTGCATGATGACATACTAAAAATAATAGTGGTAACAGGCTGAAAAAATTAGCAAGAAGAGGATTAGGGATTACTACATGAATAGATACTTTCAGTCATAACAATTATTCCAACATCCCAAACCACACCCTCAGATATCCTTTGATAACTATGCTCTGGCTTATTCCTCAATCCAGCCCATCACGCCTCCTAGAAATTAGTTTAAATCTTGCAACAACACAAAGTGATTGAGAGTGGTGTAGGAAAGAGTACCACGTGAATCTGGTGCTCAGGGAAGTAGCAACAATTTTGGCATAAAGCAAAGGAAGCTAGCAACATCTTCCCCTTCCTGTGCTTTTCTGTTTTTCTCTTTAGGGCTTCTCAGAATTGACAGGGTCTGTCCATTTATGATGGAGATTCCTATTCATAGGGTGCTCTGCTTCAAACATTGCTAGGCTTCATTCCTAAAAATAGGACCAATATTCAATATCCCATGTACAACTGTCTCTAGAAACAGAGTGGAATACAAACAGGTGTGAAATCCAGCCAGGAGATTAAAAACTCAATCCAAACAGATTAAAATACCTCTAGGAGAAACAACACAGAAGCAATAAATTCAAATTCAATGTAAGAAGACTCAAGGCAGTCACACACCTCACAATTTCACTAGAATTCTTCCTCTACTCCTCTTACACCTAGGCAAAGCAAATAAAGTCATATGGGTTAATAGAAGAATCCCTTGGTCTTGGAGGACAAATGCACAGCTCTTGGGCTCTCCTCATCTGCAGAATCACCCAGCTTGCTCTCAGATATTTGGGAACCAGGTTCTTGCACCTCAGGGCCCAGAGCCTAATGACAGCACAAACTCCTGAACCTCAAGCAAATTATCAACTCCAGACTGGAGAAAAGTGTGGAGGGGGCAGTAGGAGCTTTAACTGAAGCATAATGCTCTCACTTTGAGCTGACGAGCTCAGGAATGTGGCTTGCAGGCCCAGAGTTTAAGCCACACCAACGACCAAGCAGAAACAGAAAAATAAAAAGAAATCCGTGGAGGGGAGACTCCCGCAGCAATCGCACAGTACCTACCTGACATCAGTTCCAAAGCCTGAGATTCCCTCAAGTTACAGCTCCCAAGCTCCACTGCACAGAGCTGGGTGCCGGCCTTGTGGCTGCCACCTATGGAAGTCCAAACTTTACTTCAGGGCACTTCCAGCAGCAAGGCAAAGGGAAAGAACCCAGAAGAAGCCGACTTAAAATGCCCGTGGTGGGTGGGGAGACGCATGCGCAAAACGATCTTCTGCCCTCCAAAACAACAAAAACAACCCAGGACTTTCAAAGAAAATGTCCTTCTTGGTGACTACAATTCCCACAATGCCCGGCACCACCCTTGTCACAAGAGTGCTTGAATGCAGTGGGACTTTCTCTCCCTGCTGTAGGAGCTAAGCTGAATTTTACTTGAAAAACACTATTTCCTTCCTGAAACCCGCCACAAAAGATAAATATATGGGGACAAGTGCATGCATTGACTGTTTGGTTCTTAGTTCTAATAATGAAATTGAGTTTATGTGACTGTGTTGCTCATACATTTCTTCTTGTTCCATTCCTGTGTTCTGCTGAATGTAAATTATATCTCTGTTTTGCCTTAACTTGTTTAATACCTCCCCTCTCATCTTACAAAGGTACTCACAGACACTGAACTTATACCAGGTTAATTCCCATTGCTGTGATGTACACAAGGGCTTAGACTAGGAAGATGGTTAAGTGGATATGCAGCATAATCCTTTGGTTGATTTGGATTTCGCAAAAATTTAACAATTAATTTTCCAGAAAATCCCCAATTCTATTTATTAAATGGAAAGGACTTTTAGATTGTTTCTGAAGTTTGCTTTTCATCTAAGGGTGTTATGATTGCTGTTTTTGCTATTGGTCCTGTGGCTTGAACTCAGAGCTTGTGCACTATCTGTGAGCATTTGCTGTGCTCTATTTGCATGTCCTTTAATAATTTCTTCAGGTAAGTAGTGAAAAGTTTCCTCACAGGGATTCTTAAGCACATGGTACATTACCCTGATTTTCCTACAAAGAGAGTGATTTGGGGGTCAGAATGAATGCAGGTGTGTAGAAGAGTGACGTTTAGGGTAGGTCTATGTTGATGTGAAACTTAATCACTTGCAAACCAGTCTGATTTTGTCTTTTCATATTTGCATGTGAAAATCTCTTTAATATTCTTACCTCCTCTCTGAAACTTAAAGTTCCTCTCAGTAGCTTTAAGCTACATATCTAGGGGACCTCAGACTTGTCTTCTCAAATCTTATCCATTAAGCTGTGGAATAAATCTTTTGTCTCCTGCCGCAGTCTCATCAGAGCACAAGCAAGACTTCTGTGGGCCAATGGGATGATAATTAAGGAGACAGAGAGTGGGCTGATGGCACAATTCTGCTATGTCTCTCAAATGCTTGTGTAATATTGGTCTAAGCCCACTCTGCCAAAAAGGGCAAACAGCACACTTCTTTCCTCATTCTATTTCAATCTATGTTTTTCCACCAAAACCTTCCCTTCACTTAAAGCCCCAGGCCCAATCAGCTAGAACACACACTTCCTCAAACCATAAAGGGCAAGGACTTGCAGTCCTGAGGGTGGGAGTCAATGGCCCTGAAGCCTCTGCTCACATTTTGCCTGCTCCTGTAGGCACCACAGGGTCTGTAAGTCTCTCTCTCTCTCTCTCTCTCTCTCTCTCTCATCCTCTCTCTCTCTCTCTCTCTCTCTCTCTCTCTCTCTCCTCTCTCTCTCCCTCTCTCTCTCTCTCCTCTCTCTCTCTCTCTCTCTCTCTCTCTCTCTCTCTCTCTCTCTCTCATAATCAGAGATCCTATACTTGTCTCCTAAAGTTTATTGTGATTTTTGGTGATCCTTTACATACAACATAATTGGGATGGATTGGATTGGAAACTTTCTTCCATGATTTTATTTCTCCGGTGTATGAGTTTTGCATGTCCATTTTGTGGAGCTGAGCTATTCCTCATGAAAACTGGGAATCAAAGGGCATATTTGGATTATAGACTTCAACTGAAAAGCACCTCTAATAATATAAAGAAAAGCTAATTTCATTCTGTAAAAGTAAACTCCTAAGAGGCAAGGAGAAGAAAAGGATCAGGAAACACTGGAGTGCTCCAAGACTATCTGTGAAGTACAGTTTTCACTTTTTAAGCCTATATTTCTGATGCATTTATTTATACTTTTATCCTTTTTTTTGTTGTTGTTTGGTCATGGCACTTGTACTCTGAGCCTGGGAACCATCACTGAGCTCAAGTGCTCTACCATGTGAGCCCACAACACACTTCCGGATTTTTAGTGGTCACTGGAGATAAGTGCCTCACACATGTTGCTGGCCAGTCCTGACTTTGAACTGGGATCCTCAGTTCAGCCTATTGAAAAGTGAGGATTACAGACATGAGGCTCCAGCACCCAGCACACACATTTCTTGTGTTTTTTGTCCCAACCCTGGGCTTGAAACTCAGTGCATGGACACTGTCACTGAACTTCTTTTGCTCAAGACTAGCACCCTACTACCTGAGCCACATTTCCACATTCTGCTTTTTCTCTGTATGTGGTACTGAGGACTTGAACCCAGGGCTTCATGCATGCTAGGTAAGCATACTACCACTGCTGGGGCCAGCCACAACTCCAGCAGTGCTCCAGAAGAACAAGGGCATGATAATTGAAGAGACAGAGACAAGGCCAATCATGAATTTCTCTTTATTCCAGCAATGACCTTAGTTATAGACATTTTCTATATCTGCACAATGCTTGCATCACATTGTATGTAGGACACAATGTGCCAGCAAGCGCAGATCATATTCATGCTTGCTCATTCTCGTTCAACCTTTGTCCACCAAATTTCTACAGGTAAGCCTGCGAGGCCAGAAGTAATAGGAAAACGCCTTCCTATGAATAGGGCAGTGGTTGTGGAGATTTTGCTCACAACTTGCCAGCTCCTGGCACCTCTGGGTCTCCAATGTCTCTCCTTTATCATTTTGTAAATTGAGCAAGGGCCTATCAGCCTGAACTTTGAAAAAGCAGCAGATCATATATCTCAGGAAGAATGGAAGAAAAAGGCATACGAAAAGAAGGAAGAGCAAAATGTGTAAGAAATAGCAAAAGGTGTGTTATTATCCAGGTTGAATCCCTGCAGGTAATGGAGAAGTGATGCAGCTAATTCTGGGGGTGTGCTACCTATAGGGTGCAGTGACCAATATCAGATATCTGACCCTGAAGCTGCATAATGTCTAAGCTTAAATTATCAAAGGACCAGATTCCTCAAATAAGGCACTGGATAGTGGTCCAAGTCATATTTCCATCATATTTAAGAAGAATAACACAGATGTACTGACCATTAGCATGACACATCATTTTTGACCACATCATTAGCAGGTCCACCTGATTATCAACATACATCACTGCTGTTTCCAAATCATAAAACTTATCACAATCTTTTTATCTACTCCCACCTGCATCCCAGGGCACCAGAAATTTATCAAGCTAAAGAATTAACATGTTGTGCTGTATATATGGTTTGCATAAGGTTCACAGCAGAAGCAGTAGCACTAGCAAGAAGAGTTGTGGTACAATAAGGTTGGCAACCAATATTCCCAAAAATTGGCAGCAATGGCTAAGAGCCCTCTAAAGCTCAATAGCAAACAGAGACCCAAACTTAATCTACCATCATTGTTCTATCAACTAAACAGGCAACATAAGTTAAGGTAATTGAATAGTAATCCCAGAGGATTTATAAGGTTAGTGAAAATACAATTGTTCCTGCAGGAGGCATGAAACACCACTCCACCCTTGAAAACAATACGCAGCTCAATTACCAGCCTGTACAGATACATAACACAAGCTTGCACTGTAAGTGATCAAAGAATCCTGAAACAAAACAGGTCTCTGAAGCAGAGGTATGGAATCAAGACAGGTATTCATGCAAATAGGCCTCAAGGCAGCATCCAGTCTACAATGTCAGGGTGAGCTTGTCCACACAGACTGACAAACATGAGGTCCAGTAAGTTACCACTGATCATGTCACTCCTCTGAGACCAGTCCTGCGGTGAGTATTGGGAGGATCCTAACACCAGAACAGCGGACAAGAAGTGAAGTCCACAGGCCCTCCATGGTGGTGGATCATTACCAACAAAGGAATCTCTAAGAATAGTGGAACCCAAGTAGGGTGTAGCACATCTCCTGCCAAAGGAATTCTACAAGTGCTATGCATAAGCTCCATATATTTTCCATTCATTCACCTTTTCTTCCAGAGGAAGTCAGAGCCATAATCTATCCCTGAATACCTTACCATACTTGTACCTTCTACCTCAGGATCTACAACACTCAATAATTGAGATCAATGCAATAAGAGGATATAATATTTGTATAAGAAATAGTCAGACAAGTCTGAGAGCAATGAACAATTCAAAAATAATGTAGGAAGTAAATTCTATTTATACTAGTACAATAAACATAATACTTAGAAATGAGTGTTTGAAAAATGTAACCTTGAACAATGAAAACTATGGGACACAGCTAATCTAGGAAGCAGCCAATTTTACCTGATCCTTATCTCCTTGCCTCTCAGGAACTTACTTTTAACTTTTACAGAAAGAAAGAATTATTTTTGCTTCATATTTTGTAGGTGCTCCAATGTTGCCATCTATACATCCAAATGTGACTCATGATCTGCATTTTCATGAGGAAGAGCTCCATTCCACTAAAAGAGGCATGGAGAACCTATGCACTGGAGGACTGAATATCAGGCATGAATATTTCCTACACAAGCCTTCCCAGTCATGATGTGGGGAAAGGATCATCAACAATCACAATAAACCCTTAAGAGACAGCTTAGGATGTTTGATATGAGGGAGAGAGGCAAAAGGTTTATTCCACAGTGTAATGCATACAGTCTGGGAAGACAAGTCTGAGGACCCCTAGATATGTAGCCTACAGAGGCTGCCAGAAACTTCTAGGATCAGAGAAGAGGTAGAAAATCAAAACAAAACAGGGTATGCAAAACAGAAAAGTAAAAACAGACTGGTTTGGAGCAAGTAATCAAGCTTCACATGAACATAGACCTACCCTAAACTCTACCTCCACCCACATTCAACCTAATCTTCCTAGACAACCATTTTTTGAAGTCTTGGGAAGGAGTACCATTTTCTAAGAAACCCTGGGAGGAAACTTTTCACTAGTTCCCTGAAACAATTAATAAAAGAAAGGCAAGTAGAGCACAGCAAATGTTCACAGACAGTGCCCATGCTCTGAGTTCAAGCCACAGGACCAACAACAAAACCAGGGGAAAAAACTTTTTAAGGGAAGGAAAACTTCAGACACAAATAACCAAAAACTCCTTGAAATTTCATAGATGGAATTTGGGAGTTTCTGGGAAAGTAATGAGGAGAGTTTGACAAATCAATTTAATTCAAAGATTATAAAGTATGTCTACCTTAAAATCCTGCTATCTTATTTCAGTATATATATATATATATATATATATATATATATATATATATAGAGAGAGAGAGAGAGAGAGAGAGAGAGAGAGAGAGAGAGAGAGAGAGCAGGGGGAAATGATCCCAGAATCAATTGGTTAAATGTCTGTAAATACCTGATTGTGAAAAACCCAGTACTAATGTGCAAACACTGCTTTTAAAGGATTCATATTGTCTTTCTATCAAAAACACCTTACCGAAGTAAACAGAATTGATTTTCTTTTTTGTGAATGTCACTGCAAAGTGCATGCATTTTATATTAACAATTACCATTGTGGGTAAGTATAAGAAAAACCAGAATGCTGGATAAAAGAATTTCCTGTGTAATCAACCAACAAGTATAAGCAAAAGCACATACCTTTATAAGTTGTTTCTCTTTAATTTTATGGATCTACATTTGTAGTGTATTTTCTGTTAATATTGTTTAGTAACACATAAAACTTCACTCTTCTGTGGATGTGTCTGTAGTGGAGACTTTAATGCTCTACATGATTCAGGAATGTTTCTTCTCCCATACGAAGGCTTTATGCTTTACCAGTCCAAGTATCATGTTCTGACCAGAAACTTCTAGGGTAAAATCACACAGGTTCTTTTCTGACTCTCATATGACTTCTCTCCAAGCCATGGTTCCAGAATCTTTACTCACTGTCAACAGCAAGAAAGAATGAAAGGATCTCTGATGAGATTCTTTTATTTCTCACTCTGTTTGACATTCCAAGTTATGAACCTAACTATGTCCAAGATTGAAAAACAGAAAAAAAACAGATTCAGCTTTAGGAACATGTTTCTAAAAAAGCTAAAGATGGCTTGTAGATTTAACAGATGATCAAATCTTGGCTTCTAAGTTAAGTTCAGATTTGCTTTAGTTTGCTTCTCATTTTTTACTTTAAGCACAATGTTGCCTCACTTTTTTGTGATTCAGTGACACCTAGAAGGAACTTCTCATGGAAGGTAAAGGTTGCCTAGAATCTTGTCAGACATCACATCCACAAAAATACCATTAGACTATCCTAATGAAGTTTTAATGGATTTGCTGAAAAAGTGTGGTCAAACATAATTTTGACTGCTGTACAGGACTGAGTGTGTTATAAGTAGTTCAATTAATCTCTGTTAATACTCTTGGACTTCTTTGTGGTATTTGTCTTTCTTGAAACTTAGTCCGTATTTGATGGTATTTATAGAAATCTTTGTTTTTCTCTAAGTTATGTACAAGTGTAGAAGTGCTGGACCATATTTCTATGTAATTCTATATTCAGTTCTTTTTAGGACTTTTTGTCCCATCTTTGATAGTTTTACATACCTGAGAGAAATGCACCAAGTTCACATTATTGTCACATCTTTCCTAGCTTTTGTTAGACTTTGGAAGGATTTTGTTGTTTTGTTTAAAACTATGGCCACACTAACATGTATGAAATGGTTATTTTATTGTACTTTTGGTTGGAATTTTTCTCATGACTATTGCTACTACTTTTATATTTTAATCTTCACAAAAAATTTTTTTAAGAATGCAAAAACAAGAGAAACACAGAGTAAGTTCTCCAGTGGATGTAGGTAGCACTTGGTGCAGGGACGGAGAGCAGACATGGTAAAGGAGAGGAATATGGTTTGATAAAAGTGTATTTGTGTATGTGTGTCTATGTGTGTGTTTGTGTGTTATGTTTATCAATGAAACTTGCTGACATTAGGGTTTTTGTTTTCTTTTGCTCATTTCATCTTGTTTTTGTTGTTCTTGTTTGACATTCCTGGGGCTAGAACTCAGGGCTTGAAAACTGTTCCTGAAATTCATTATGCTGAAGGCTACAACTCTACCATTTGAGCTACAGCACCAGTGCTTCTAGGAGTATTTGGGGGCTGTTGTTGTTTATTAGGTACTGAAATATCAAACATAGTGTTCCATGCCTGCTAGGCAAGTACTTTATCACTAACACACATTGCCAGCCCCAACTACACTGTTTTAAGAAAGGAGGCAGGCTGGGAGTGTGGCTCAGTGGTAGAGTGCTTGCCTTGCATACATGAGGCACTGGGTTCCATTCCTCAGCACCACATCAGCAGAAAATTCATTGTGACTTATCACCAATGAAATGCCAGAAAACTAGAAGTGACATTCTGGCTGGAAGTGGTAGCATGCCAGCCTTTAGTAAAAAGCATAGGGAATATGCCAGGCCCTCCCTGAGTTCAAACCCCACAGCTAACAATTGAAAGAATAAAGAAACAATCCCAAACAAAAACCTAATTACTTGCTCATTGCCTTTGTTCTAATTTTCCTTGTATTGTAACTGAATACTTCCTGTCACTCCATTTTCTACTTTCTTCCTTTCATTTTGAGGGGTTGAACCTTCAGACTTGCACATGGAAAGTGGATCCTACATAGCAACCTGTTCTTTCTTCTTTTAACATAAAAAGTCTGTTTATAGGACAGGGAAGGTAGCTAAGTGGTAGAGTGTTTGCATCGCATGAATGAGGAGATAGGTTCTATTCCTCAGATTCTCATACACCAATAAAGCCAGAAGTTATGCTGTGGCTCAAGTGGTAGAGTGCTACCCTTGAGCAAAAGCAGCTCAAGGACAGCACCTGTCCCCTGAGTTCAAGCCTAAAGAGCGCAAAACAAAAAGTCTGCTCATTTAAATTAGTCAATATTCCTCTGGAATTTAAACCACAAACTTAAAAGTGACATAAGTTCACATTCAATAGTATTGTCCTCCTTTACAGAGAGTTCAGGGACAGCACACAGAAGAGACCCTAGGCCTCTGCTGTCATTTATAAACTAGCTGTTGTACAACATTAAGCATCAACACATACATTTCTATTCTTATTATTTTGAACACAATGGGATTTGTAAGTGTTGGTAAAAATAAGTGAAGGAAACCCTTCCTTTTCACCTATTTGTTGTGATAGTAATGGATCTATTTTGCTGTGCACTCAAGTCCCACACTTGTCATTGAAGTTCTCTCTGAACTACTTTTCAATTTCTTTTCTTCTTAGGGCACACACATTCACACACATCCTGAAGAATTTTTACTAGTTCATCTAACAATGTTTTACTACCAATTCTCTAGTCCACAAGTAATTGTATCACCTACATAGGACAAGACTATTACATTAGGCCACTGACTTCTCTGACAGGTCCCTGTGTCAACAGTCAGCACTGCAGGAAACACGTGTGCAACTTGGCTCATGCTGCAGGTGCCATGCTGTGCTGGTGGTGGACTGATGGGTAGCACACACCCTGCTCTGGGCTTCTCACTCCTGTCCCAAGGGACTTGCCAGGTTTGCCTATTGCATGAAGACTTTGGCACTGCCCTCCTGTCCTCAGCTGGCTCCTTACCAAACTTTTCTTTCCTGTACCTTTCTTTTTGAGTTCTGGCATAGACCAATCTTATCGTTCAAATATATTGGTATTCTGGGACCTTAAATCATCACTACTTGATACTTCTTTTCTTATGATACTGTTTCAAGTATACTGCAATATTTGGCCACATTTTATATGTTGAGATCTCTCTTTGAAGGTCTCATTCTGCACTTTACAGACGTGGACCACATTGTCCTGCATAGTATCTTGAACCTCTACAAGGACTTATGAACTTGTCAGAAACATAAAGGTATGTGCATGTGGATTCACTTGACAAAAGAAACCAAAATATTCGTACAATCTATCATTCCCCTGGCTTAAAAGACATTTCAATATCAACCTCAATTGAGGACAATGACTATACACTATCGAGGACTTTAGGCTTAAACAAGAATGGTAAATTTTCTGCACGAGGGCCAAAAACCCATTTTCCAGAACATCTTCCCTGGCCCTGGAGTTCTTTCTCCTCAAGGCCCAGGTACTGTCCCTGATCTTTGGTAATAAAGGAACAAAAGTGTTGACAGTCTATCAACTTCATTCACAGCATTACTTGTGGGAAATTTGGTGATAATTGGCCATAACACTTTTACAGCTATTCCTACCTTGTTTGTCTTTCAATTGTGATCTTTAAACCTCATGCCCTTGAGCAAGTAAGAATCCCAATATGAAGCACCAGTGCCCTGTTAGATCAGGAGATCTTAATTACTTGGTCCAAACAGGACTCATGGTGTCCACATAACAGGATATAAAATTCATAACATCATATAGCCATATGCAAAGGTCCTTTTGCAATCACTTGGTAAAGGACTGTTTACCTATCATTGGGTAAACCACACCCAAATTCTTCCACTAAATATTTGGAAGAATGTATTGGTTACACGTACCTCATTATTGGTCCTCAGGTTGAATTCAGGGGCAAAAACTTGTGAGACTTCCTTTACCTTCTATAGAAGATGACCATTTGTATCACTGATTTTTCACCTTAGGGTCTTGCTTCTCTGCCTGGACCTTTCCATACATTAATTTTATAATTACATATCAGAAGTAGTAAAAAGGTAGGTACATATAACCAGAGCCATGCTTTTATTGGCTAAGATACCATTTTCATGGAGCTTTTGCATGGGATGGCCTACAAAACTATCTAATTTCAGCTTCCTGAGTAGTTAGGATTCCACACATGAGGGAGTGTAATTGCTCATTTTTAATTGCTGGTCTGAAATTAAAAGAGGAAAGGGTACTTTATCAATTCAGTGAGCATTAAGTCCCTTTACTTCTGAATTCAAGTAAAGTGTTGGCCAAATGATAATAACAAAAATAATACAAAACATTAATAAAATATGTTATCATCAGGCATACTTTTAATGAACGTGGTATTTTGGTTCATAATTTGAGGTATATAACAGGCCTAGGTAGGACTCCAGTCTGTGAACCATCCCTTCTCAGAAAGCATACAGTTTGTAAACATGGGAGAATGAGCGATTTCCAAATGGATAGTGTGTGTGTGTGTGTGTGTGTGTGTGTGTGTGTGTGTGGTACAAATAGGAAGGCCAAGGGCACAGGTGCCTCCCAATCCCATTTTTTTTACTAGGCCTCTGTAGATAAGCAGAAGGGTTTGCCTGGGAAGGTGGCTCAGTGTCAGAGCACTTGCCATGCATGCATGAGGTCCTGGGTTCAATTCCCCAGCACCACATAAGCAAAAAAAAAAATGCTGGAAGTGGCACTGTGGCTCAAGTGGTAGAGTGCAAGCCTTGAGCTGAAGAGCTGAGGGACAGCACCTAGGCGCAGAGTTCAGGCCACAAGCCCGGACCCCCCACCCCAAAAAAGTAGAAGGGTGAACAGTGTGATGGAAGGGGTTAAGCGAGCAACTAGCTAAATCTTGCAATGTGAACTCCACTGTCCTTATTTGTAAATGGAATCATAGGCAGGATTTAAGGATTCCTTGTTTTATTGTGAAAATACTGTAAAGAGTTATTATTTTTGATCTATTGAAATAAATACTGAAATTGTTGAAGCCACAGGAAGCCTGAGCTGAAGCACTGAAGGAAACCTCATGTTCCCAGAGACAGATTTCTTCAGAACAGCCCACAGGGCTAGCTTTTATGGAGGCCAAGATGAGAGAATCTCCTTTGAAGCCAGCTCTGGCAGGCTTCAACTCAGTTCCTGAGTTCAAAACGTCATATTGGCACAATAACGTTCCTTCATGAATGTGGGAAAGTATTGCTCTTCATGTAACCAAACGGCTCTAGACATATCTAGAATGACTGGCTTATATAGGATCTGGAGCCTTGGTCTTGGTTTATTAATTAAGCTCTTTCTGTTGTAACAGAAATTGTTTCTAAATACCTGCAGGATATCTTTAATTACATAACTATACAGTGGCATCGATCTTGGCTCTAGAAATTCTAAATTCAGGTCAACCTTTCTGTTTCTGTAAAAGAAGACACTATATTTGTTCGAAGCCACATTATGGTAGATGGAATAATGGAGTGGATTTCACAGCTAGCAGTCTGCAAGCAGCCTGTTCTAACAAAGACTTGCAGTCCACAAATACACTTAAACAGCTTGGAAATAGGACAGAAAGGGGGGGAGAGAATAAAAACAGCACCGAGAAACCAATCAGCACCAAGAGTGATGAATTGGGACACTAGATGATGAGAGACAAGCCAGGAGAAAGCACACAGGACATAATTACAGAGACATGTGGCATGGCATCTGGTGCCACTGCTGGTCCGGCCTAAATAGGGCCTAAGCTGGAGGCAGGTCTACAGGAAATTCCCAGTCCAGGCACTGGACTTTCAGATTGAGTAACATCAGCCAAATGCCCATGCCTGCTTCCAGGGATCCAGCCACACCCATCGGTTGGGAGGTAAGTGATGGATGGGGCATTTCCTTCCCCCTGCATGAAAACAAGATGCCAGACCCCACCATCTACCATGTGGCCAATAGGGCACCAGCCACACCTGACCTCCTTACTTAATATTACTGTATTAGTAAATCAATTTATAAAATGTTACATCCTCTTTATTGTTTTGTAAACATTCAAAAATTTGCTTTTTGTAAAAGCCATATTTCTTGAGCTCTACCTCTGAAACAATAATTCTCACATTCACCAAAAATTAAACATTCTTCTTTTGAATAGTTTATTTCTTCCTTCTTCCTCATTCCTTCCCTTCCTCTTTCCATCTCTCACTTCCCTACTCCTTCCTTCCTTCCTCTCAGGGTCTAGAAGTGATGCTGTAGCTCAAGTGGCAGACGGTTTTATTCCTTTTTTAACTTCAATTTTTGTGAGAGATTGATCAATATCTTTGTGTGCTTGATTATTTCCCCTAATGTCATATCTACTTTGGCCTTCTATGAGATAACACAGGTGCGACACATCGTCCACACTGGTCTTTTATTATAGCTCACTCAGCAGAACAAATAAATGGGCTAAGAGTGAATCAATCACAAGTTTTTCATCACCAGTGATTAATTAAAGAAAAGTGCAAGCACTGAAGACACTTTGGGGTTCTCCCCCAAGACAAAATGCAGGGCTGCGAAGGTGGGTCAGTGGTAGAGCGCTTGCCTTGCATGCTCGAGGCCCTGGGTTCGATTCCTCAGCACCACATAAGCAAAAAGAAAAAAAAAGCCGGAAGTGGTGCTGTGGATCAAGTGGTAGAACGCTATCCTTGAGCTGAAGAGCTGAGGGACAGCGCCCAGGCCCAGATTTCAGGCCCCACGACCGGATCTCCCCCCCAAAAAATGCAGAGATTCTAGTCTTTATTAATCCATCGTATTTTTTAAATATATATTTTATTGTAAAGATATTGTATCGATTGGTTATACCATTATATGAGTTAGGTCATTAATACATTTTCTATCAAGCATTGTTACCCCTCCAAGAAAGACTTTACTACTGTTATGACTTTTTCTAGAAAACCTTTCCAATTTTTCTACATATGATTTTTCTCCTCTTTGTGTGTGAGGGTGTATGTGTGTCTGTGTGTTTTGTGTGTTCTGTGATGAACCCTGAGCTGTGTCTAGTAGTTCGAGGACTCCACATCTGCTATATCATAAGGTCTGTATCCTGTATTGGTTCTGTATTGCAATTTCAATTTTCTTACAGATCAAAGACTTTCCCATTTGGTACAATCCTAAGTTATTTCATTTGTGTGAATCAACTTATGTGTGTTAAGCTGTCTTTCCACATTGGTCACATTCATAAGGTTTCTCTCCTTGTGTCTGTGATGGATGTTAAGTTGTGCCTTCCAGGTGAAAGAATTTCCATGCCTGCTACATACATAATATTTCTCTCTGGTTGGTTTTTTTCTGATGGACAGAAAGGTGTATGTTCTGCATGAAAGATTTTCTACATAGGTCACATTCATAAAATTTCTCTCCTGTGTGTGCTCTCTGGTGGACAGTAAGTTGTAGCTTCTGGCTGAAAATCTTTCCCCAAACATGACATTCATAAGGTTTCTTTCCTGTGTTTTTTCTGATGGACAGTGAGGTTTGACTTCCAGATGAAAGTCATTCCACACAGGTTACATTCATAAGGTTTCTTTCCTGTGTGTATTATCTGATGGACATTGATGCTTGACTTCCAAGAGAAGGACTTTCCACACATGTTACATTCATAAGGTCTCTCTAATGTGTGTGTTTTCTGGTGCACAGTAAGGTTTCTTTTATGGGTGAAAGACTTTCGACACAAGTTGCATTCATAAGTTTTCTCTCTGGTATGTGTTCTCTGATGGAGATTAAGATTTGATTTCTTGGTGAAAGATTTTCCACACATCTTACATTCATAAGGTTTCTCTCCTGTGTGTGTTCTCTGGTGCAGAGTAAGATATGCCTTGCAGGAGAAAGACTTTCCACAAATGTTACATTCAAAAGGTTTCTCTCTAGTATGTGTTCTCTGATGGAGATTAAGATTTGATTTCTTGGTGAAAGATTTTCCACACATCTTACATTCATAAGGTTTCTCTCCTGTGTGTGTTCTCTGGTGCAGAGTAAGGTATTCCTTGCAGGAGAAAGACTTTCCACAAATGTTACATTCAAAAGGTTTCTCTTTTGTGTGTGTTCTCTGGTGGCGAGTAAGGTGTGATTTCTCGGTGAAAGACTTTCGACACATGTTACATTCATAAGGTTTCTCTCCTGTGTGTGTTCTCTGGTGGAGAGTAAGATATGCCTTCCAGGAGAAAGACTTTCCACAAATGTTACATTCATAAGGTTTCTCTCTTTTGTGTTTTCTCTGGTGGACAGTAAGGTAAGTCTTCCAGGTGAAAGACTTTCCACACATGTTACATTCATAAGGTTTCTCTCCTGAGTGTGTTCTCTGGTGTCTAGTAAGATACGCCTTCCAGAAGAAAGACTTTCCACAAATGTTACATTCAAAAGGTTTCTCTTTTGTGTGTGTTCTCTGGTGAACAGTAAGCTTTGATTTCTGGATGAAAGACTTTCCACAAACGTTACATTCATAAGGTTTCTCTCTAGTATGTGTTCTCTCGTGGACAGTAAGCTTTGATTTCTCGGTGAAAGATTTTCCACACTTGTTACATTCATAAGGTTTCTCTCCTGTGTGTGTTCTCTGGTGTCTAGTAAGATATGCCTTGCATATGAAAAATTTTCCACAAATGTTACATTGAAAAGGTTTCTCTTTTGTGTGTGTTCTCTGGTGGACAGTAAGCTTTGATTTCTGGTTGAAAGACTTTTGACACATGTTACATTCATAAGGTTTCTCTCCTGTGTGTTTTCTCTGAGGGACAACAGGGTGTTTCTTCTCAGTGAAAGACTTTTCACACTGTTTACATTTGTCAACTACAGAAGACACATGAGTACTATATGCAGCACACATCTTACCAGGTTCACTGAAAATACCCATGCTCTGACAGCCAGTGACCTTTTCTATCCTCATCCCTAAGGAGTTCCCATTATTCTTAATCAGTTCTGACTTCTGTATGGAGCTCAAATGAAAACTTCTTATAAGTCTCACTTTTTCCTCTTCTGGGTTACTATTCATGATTGCTACTTCAGAGAGATATTTATTATGACGTTGCTGGCAGGTGCTAATCACATCCTCCATTTCTGGGACATCTAAAATGAATAATAGAAAAATAAACAAAAACATAAATGCGATCCATATATTCCTTAATGTAAAGATATTTCCTCACATTCTGTTACCATATTTTCAAATATCAAAGCATTGCTTTATGCAGAATATATATATTTCTCTGCAATGTAGTAATTAAGAAAGTAGTACTGACATTTTACAATGGAAAATAATGTTTTTCTGTATTTCAGATTTTTATATTTTTCTCAAGAAAATATTTACTCAAATTATTCATCTCTGTACTCTTAACGCTTCCATTGTGAATCTCCCTCTATGCCCAGCACCACTGATAAGAAATTGTCCTGATCCTATTTTCCTCCTACCTGCAAAACACTAGTTTAAAATGAGATCTCTTTACTACGTTTCTTATTGTCTTTTTCTCTTTATGAATGACTTCTCTACAGACAAAGAGAAGTGCTAACATTAACTACACTGGAACATCAAATTCAGTTTGTCTCCACGAGAATTCTGGATTGACAATTCCTTGAGACAAAGGATCACCTAGTTGTCTTCCATACATGACTCAAGGGCACTAGGAATACTATTGCTCTTTACAGCTCAAGTTAAACAGACCCACTGGGCTCTGGACCCAACATCACTATTCAAGATGCTTTAACTCACCTGTGAAATTCTCTTCTGAGTCTTCTCTCATCCATGGTTCTGCACCTTGTTCCAGCTTCACAATCAATGTAGGTTTAGGAACACAGTGCCCTGTGAGTAAGAAATAGTGGAGAACTATTGCTCTTGCTGGGTCATCATTAATGTAATGTTGCAGACATCCTGTTCACTGGGTTGCTCCTAAATCTGGTTTCTCAATTGTTTTATTTTTTGGGGGGTGGGATCGGTTGTGGGGCCTGAACTCTGAGCCTAGGAGCTGTATCACACCTCCTAAACTCAAGGCTAGCACTCTACCACTTGAGCCACAATGCCAATTCTGGCTTTTTTTTTCTGCTTTTTTGGTGCTGAGGAATTGAATACAGGGCCGCAGGCATGCAAGGCACGGGCTCTACCACTGATCCACCTTCCCAGTCCATGGTTTCTCAATTCTTAACAGCTCCATGGTGTACTTTCCCCCAGCTTTGGGTTTATTTTCCAAATGTGTGGCTTGGACTCAGCTCTTTTGCTCAAATCTAGCATTCTACTAGTTTGTGTCTTGGCTACATTTCTAGTTTTTGAATGGTTAATTGGAGATAAGAGTCTCATGTTCATTTTTCTACAGTTGTTGGCTTTAAACCAAAATCCTCAGATTTCAGCCTACAGAGTATCTAGAATTCCAAGCTTGAAGCAGTGCAACCTATGTCAGGTTTGGCTTACAAATACACACTTTCACACTTTCACCTACTGATTTCCAGATCATACTGACAGTAGTAATGTATAGTCTATCTAGAGTGTAGATCCACCTATAATAATCACCCCAAGTCTGGAAAGTCAGTCTCCTATTAGTGGATCATAGTTTAGAACTTTTGTCCAACTACTGATTAGAAATCTTAAAGACTGAGAATAAAATTAGCTCATGAGTTACACATAATGAAGTTGAAGTTTCCCTTAGGAAGAAATGACACTTCCCATGGACTGTAATCTTTTTTTTTTTAAACAAAATGTAATGGTCCAAAGGCTTACATTTCTAACCCTACATTTAGGAGGTAAGATCAGAAGAGGCAGGCTTGAAACCAACCTGGGTATGGAAATTCAGAATATACCCCAAAACAAAAGCCAAAATAGAGTTGTGGCTCAAGCAGTAGTGTGAAAGGCAAACAACATCAAGCTCCCAGACCTGAATTTGGCTGGCTTTTATATTAGGAGTTTTTTTTACAAGGGAATGGACTGGAATCTTATACCTAAATAACATAGTCAAATGTGTACTAAAATAAAAGCACTTGATCTTCCAAATAAAAGTGACCTTTGCTCACCCAAGGACATTAGGTTGTTATAAGTTTCCAGCATTACTTCTCTATGAAGGGTCCTCTGACCAGGATCCAGATCCTGCCATTCCTTCCAGGTAAAGTACACAGCCACATCATCAAATGACATCAGCTTCTGTAATGGCACATTTCCATCAAGAAATTAGACCTGGGTCATGAGAATTCCAATCTGGAATTTCATTATGCTGCAGGTATGCTTTTGTCTTACATAAAATGTTTGCAGCTGGCTATGTTATCTTTTCACTGGGAAAATTAAATAGCAAATTAGAAATATTTGACAATACATAAACCTGGCAACTAAAATACACAGATTTTCAGAGAACTGGTGGCTTATGCCTGTAATCCTAGCTATTGAGGAGGCTGAGGTCTGAGGATCAAGGTTCATGGCCAGCCCAGGCAGAAAAGTCCATGAGACACTTATCTCCAATAAACCACAAGAAAACTGAAAGTAGCACTGTGACTCAAGTGGTAGAGCACTCACCTTGACCTGAAGAGCTGAGGGACAATAACCAGGCCGAGAATTCAGGCCCCAAGACCAATAAAAAGTTACAGATTCCCTAATGCATGCAAACACATTTCTGCTGCTAGCAATAGAGACAAGATAAAAATTCTAAGGAGACAATAATCTGGCATGATGACATTAAGTCTAAGGTGGTGTCCAAAAAATTATATTATTATTTTTGATAAAATTTTAGTATATATCAGTAGGTAACAAAGAATTAAACAAATATTTTCTATGCATTTACATTTATTGCTTCACCATAAATCCTATTTAGACCTTCTATTAACAAGTACTCTCATAAGCAAGCAGAACACATTCAGGACATCACATGGTATACTGAGCATAGAACATTACTAGATCAAAGAAAAGCAGTGTCCACATGAATGTTAAAAAACAGTAACAGTACTCCAGAAAGTAGCTAATGATTTATTGGGCCCTTATAAGATTTGATTTAGTTCCCACATAAAAATATCCTAGGTTAACCATGTTTGGTTTAAATACTAAATATTGAAATGTGGTCTTAGATACCCTGATATTTCCTTCCTATGTAAAAAAGAACTGCTACCATGATGTTTTGTAAACTTTGCCTACATTCTACAACACAAAATATAGGTGGGAGGGGAATAAAATATTCCTTGAGAAGATTTTCATTTTAATAGGCCTTCATGGAAGGTGGAGGCAAATAGATAGAGACTCAAAGAACACTCAAGGTGACAAAAATGATAAATATGACCAAATGCTCAAATGTGTTAAATATTCCTGAGTCATTTCTCAAGTAGATCCCTAAAGATATATTTCCACTTTTGTTAGTTAATAGTGAAATTCTTCAGAGATCAAAATCAATTCCTAGCAAATACCTGTGAGATTTTACAACAAATGATATTTCCAATAGCGAAAAACTCATCACTGTATTTTTTTGTATTTTTATCAAAACTACCTATCTTATACTGGCAGTGAATGAAAATATTTAAAAGTATTGGGATGGAAAAACAAAACTGAATACCACAACAAATGTTAGACCAAAGATAACAGAAATATGTGAAATCAAATTTTCTTGTGGTTTATCAGTTGGAGGAAGGACGTACTTTTCTGTATGGAACTCTGAAGTTGAGCTGAAGGGGAAAAAGTTTTGAGAGGTTGGAATTCCAGCCTGACAGCACTGAGAGAACTGAGAGCTGGCCGCAGAAGGGTTAAAAGAGAATTCTGGAGATGGTTAAGATATTGGAGTTCAGGCCTTTTCCTTACTGTTGGAAAGATAGCATCTGAAACTGAGCTGCTGTTCACCTTGAAGGCTAGGTAAGGTGAACTTCATGTCTGCATTTTCTCTGGGCGCCAGTCCTCTGTCTCAGGAGAATAAGGAAAGATGTTTTCTTCAGGACGTGTTGTGGCTCAGATTGTAATATTAATATAGATACTTCAGTTTTGCATGTTATCAATGGTAATCTTCCCTGTGTGAACTCAAGGAACTTTGCTTGCTTGCTGGCAACCACAGACCAAGTGCCAGAGAGGCTTCAGAACCCTGGTTTCCCCTAAGTTTATCTGTTTATGTTTTTGTGTTTCTCTAATTTTCTTTGTTTCTGGAATCCTGTAGAACTCTCTAGGCAACAATTTTCCTATACAGTGGGTAAGAAAAATGTCAATCTTAAGAGCCATGTCAGAAACATAAAGCTGATCACTAAGAAAAACTAGTTCCCAGATAGATCATTGAAGAAAAGAAAAAACTGAGGAAAGAGAGAATGAGAAAAGTAAGAAAAAATGATTCAAAGATAGATACAAAGAGAGAGAAAGAGAATAATAACCAACACAAGTGAGTAGAAAACCAAAAGTAGAGAGAGATTATAGAGGAAAGAAATCTTGTGAGGATACTTTAGAAAACAAACAAGATTTTGAAAATAGAACATAAACTTTAGCAACAAATATAGCCTCAGCTTCAAGTAAGACCAAGACCATGAAGTAGTCCAAGAAGTATATATGGAGAGTAATTTAAGTACATATAGGTTAATCATTCCTTAAGAACACACGAAGGTGCGTATTTCAGCAATTCCAGGAAAATTTCATTGAGATAGTTTAATGTTACTCATGAGAATGAGATCTGGTTGCAATCTACCCTTCACCTTCCATGAGATGTAACCTGCTCAGTGGCACTACATCAGGTAACAGGTATGACTACATGTTATGACAAGTTGAAACCTAGACATTCTGAAGCCAATCTGAATTCAATTTAGAAAGAATATAACCATTTAATCTGCTAAACCTACAAGTAATCTTTATCTCCTAATCTACAAGCCATCTTTTTCTGATTTATGAATACATTCCGGAGGCTGAATCTGTGTGGTTGGTATTGTTTGTAATTCTTGGAAATCTTTAGGTTCATATAATGG